TTGCTCTCCCCATGTGAGGACACCAGAAATCAACCACATTGGTACCCTCCTCTCAGACTTCTAGCCTCCAGAACTGTGAGAAATATATTTCTATTGAAGTCATCCAGTTTGTGATATTGTTCGGCATTCTAAGCTAATACAACTTCTTCATTAAAATTGGTCTTTTTACAACGTACAGAAACTGGTTTTATAGTTTGTTCTTTTTGGTCTTGAGTGCCAACACTGCACCAGGCTGTCCGGTCCCAGGGAGGAAAGGTGAGGCAGTGTTTGAGCAGAGGAAGCCCCTTCCAAGAGCTGGATGTTGTGGGTTCCCTGACACTATGCTGGCCCCACAGGGTGGCTAAGAGAAGGCTGGAGCTTTGGGTGCTATCTCTGCCTCTCTGGGGCCTCATGTGGGTCTCCCAACCTCTTGGAACCTGTGTACCTGTGTCCTGGAAAATGGGACAAGATCCCCCTCACAGGAGTAGAGGGGCCAAATGCTCACAAAAGGCCACTGCACAGTGGGCCCCCAGGAAATGTGCTCTTCCTGTGGGAGCACTCCAGAAGTTCCTCATGTCACCCCCAGCAGGGACCGCCACCCCCATTTCCACAGGTCAAGTTATAGCTAGGAAGGGTGTGCTGGTTCCTGAGCTGCCTAATGCCAGATTTTGGTCCTGGCACTCACACTGGACCCTGTGGCTCCTGGAAGCCTTTGCTCAGGGAGTACCCCTGCTCTGGAATGTCTTCTCCATTCCACGGCACATCCCCTTGGAAAGAATCCCCCAGTGCTCTACCCCTGCCACTCCTTGGAGGCCGGACACCTCCCTCCCATATCAGTGTCTTGCCTGAGGTGTTCATTTTCAGACCCACACAGTCCTGGATTCGGCCGGAGTGGGCTGCGGAAGCAGGTCAATAGTCAGAGCCAGTGAAAGCTAAGTGGGGTTCACGTCCCTGGGTTTCCATCATGGGGCACTTGATCTAATGGGTCCTACGTGAATGACAGGCAGGGAGGGTCTTGACTCCACCCAAGTCACGGGCACTGCACACTTGGAGTTGGTGTCCTGCCATTTGGCAAGAAGTGAGCACTGCGGCCCAATGTGAAGACAGCAGCCCCCTCCCTACCCTCTCACAAACTCCCACCATTCCTTAGGAACAGCCTGCCCCCTAATGCCCCTTGTTGCTGAGGCATCTCAGGAAGCCTCATGCTCCATGACCTGGGGGTGGGGGAACAGGCAGGAAGGACTCCCTCACCTCACTGCCTGCTGTCCTCAGGCCACACTGGGGCCCATGGAGGCTCTGGCAGCAGGTCCACTAGGACATTTGTCTGTTTATGCCATGATGGCGCCTCTCAGTGATAACCAGGAGGAATGTAGATGGAATATTTTTATAGGAAGAATCTTTCTTTTGCCAGTTTTCAAACAGGTAGACAGACACTTGTCACACCTGTCCCATGTCAGCCTCTGCCTGACAAATGGGGCTAAGACAGGGAGATGAAAGACACCATAGTTGGTGTGCAGGGGCCACATGGATGGGAGGACAGAGTATCGGGTTGGCCTCCTGATGGGGCTAGGTGGGGCGACATGTCATTATCCACCTCCGCAGCAGCCACCTCGGTCTTCCAGCTGGGTTCCCTAAGCCCCTCCGCCACAAATTTCTTACCTTGCTCCCAACTCCCTCCTCCCCCTGCCCAAGTCCTGCAGCCCCAGCACAAGCAGTGGGCTGTCTCAAAATCTTCTTGGCTCCCACCCCTTGGCCAGCAGCTCCAGTGGTTCTTTAAGACCTGGGACCAGTGGGGGGGCCCAAGCCTCAGGGTCATCACCACACTATTGACACCCACAATAGCCAGTCTCTCCCTGGGACCTCATGAATTTTAGAGTGTCTCCTCAGAAGGGGCTTTGGAGAAGAAATATGTCACAAGAATCTAGGGATTCTTGCTGCCCAGCATGCCCAGCATGCCCAGCATGGAGGTAGCTCAAAAATAATGCTAGAAAGTCATTGGCAAGAGAATGCAGAAGCAAGTGACCCTCAGGAACCTGTCCAGACCCCCAAATCCCCGCCTGAATGTGCATCCTGGTGAGGGATGGGAGAGTCCTCTTCAGGGCCCTGGGTGGGGGGGTCACTCTTCAGATTGTACTTAAGAACCACATGCCCCTCTTGGCACTCCATCAGTCCCTATCATGTGGGAAAGCCACCCTCAAGTTGGGGGATGAGGTGGCTCGGGGCTGGAGGAAAAGGGATGCTCAGATGGCCCTGGGGTCTTGGCAGCTTCCCTCAAGAAAATCTAATAGCCTGGTCCCCACCAAGCTCACCAGCCACAGATTTACATGGTGTTGTGCTTCAGGAGGCCTGGGAGCCCAGGAACAAGAGCTGGGTAGGGGTGTAACAGGGTAGCTTTCTGTCTCTGAGGATGATGGGAGGCTGAATGGAGAGTTGGATGTGTTCCAGGAGAGCAGGGAGGCCTCAACCAGGTCAATGAGGAGTGAACAATAGAGAGCATGGAGGGTGGGGAGGTGGGAAATTGGGCCAGGTTCTGAGAAGGGTGGGGGAGGTGGGGCACTGGACCCACTCCCAGTTCCTTGTCAGGGTGCAGTGTGGAGGCAGGTGGAGGCCAAGGGAGCTGTGTGAGATTTCGTATATCCTTGGTCCCCACAGTCCTCCTGAAACCACTTTGACGTGGTGTCCAGTGCATCCTGGTGGCTTGCCAAGATGGGTCATCCTTTGGAATTTTGCTTTTTAGTCACATCTTTAGGGATGAGAAGAGCTTTGGGAGTAGACATTGCCTCCAGAGGGCAGGTGGCCCACAACTCCTGCTGCCTGGACCTCACCCTTACCGGAGGACCAGCAGAAACTCAGGCTGCCCCTCCCATTGCACCCTGAAGCTGGCACAAAATGAACTGACACAGAAGCTTCCCTGGAGCTAAGGGAGAGGGACTGAGAATTTCATTTAGGTAAGCCCGACTTCTTGGAACCTGCTTAACACCCACCTGGCTGGGACCACCCACTTTCCCACAGCCTCAGGCTCTTCAATGAGAAGTGGAGACCCCCTGGGGACCCCAACTTGCCCTTCAACTCCTCTGCTGCTGGGTCTGCCTGGAGTCTGAGCACCGCCCACCCCCGTCCCACCATTCCAACCAGAGTTTCCCACAGCAAGCACTAAAACAAATATCACCGTTCCTCATGGCTGAAGGACTGATGGGGAGGGGCAAGCCCAGGCTGGGCTCCGCTCTTTGCCCCCATGGTTCAGCAGAGGGTCTTGCTCCGGGGAGCACAGTTGGGCCCACGTGCCTTCCCTACCTGCCAGCCTAAGTTCTCTCACAGACCCCTCGGGGCAGGATAACTGGGAAGGACTTGGGTATCTGAGGAGGTGAGGGCCTCACTGCTCACTGAGGGCCCAGAAGCCCCATTACTAGCCTGTATTTTCACAGCAAGCCCAATGCAGGGAGGGGCGGGGAGGGCTCCACCTGTATGGGAGGGGCCCCAGGTGCTGAGACAGTGACAGCTTTGTGGGTCCAACTAACTGCGACCCCGCCCCCTTCACAAAACCCCATGTGACAGGGAGGCTTAGAAGGTAGTGGATCACCCAGGGACACACTGGGTTCTGGGCTAAAGCCCACAGGATCGCAGTTCCAGGTATTACCTGCCAAATCCTCACCTGAGAACACTCTTCCAGATGGGTGCCTTTGCTCATTTGAATCCCAGAGGCGGGCAGCCCTCTTGTGGCACCTCGGGCTCATGGCTAACAGCTAGCTCCAAGGGCCAGTGCCACCATGTCCTGCTCTTTTGGGAGCTAACTCAGGACACTTGCCATGAGGCCGCCCCTAATACCCTGGGCCAGGCCTGGGCTGGACTCAGGAATGTGGAAATAGGGAGGTAGACACAGGTGTTTATGCCCAGTGCTGGGATAAAAGAGCCAGGGCCTTCCCCAGAGAAAGTGGAAGGGAAGGTTTCTAAAAGAGAAAAACAAAGGGGCTCAAGTCATATCTGGGGGTAGATATGGGAGATTTTAGGCAGGAGGGACCTAGACATCTCAGAACATGTATGCAGGTGAGCAGGAGTGGTGGGGATAAGGGTTGGGGTCTGGCTGGGAGAGATAGGGTCTGTCAGCCCTCAGTGAGACACAAAAGGGAGTGGACAGAGAACAGAGAAAGACATGGACTTGCCCCTGGGGATGGGAGGAGGACGAAGGTCAGGACCCTGAGCCTTGGGCTCTGACACTGGGCATAGAAGGACAGGTAGCATGGGGTCATCATGACAGGACAGGCTGAGTCTGGGGACCTGAGCTGCCCAGTGGAGCAGATTTGCACATGGAGGGGAAGGAGATGTGAAGCTGTTAGTGGGGGGCAGCCTAGAGACCTGAGACCCCAGCTCTTCCACACTGACAGGCACACAGCAAGGGTGTAGTAAACGCCAGCTGACCAACAGCCAACGTTCAGTGCAGTTCAGTGACATGTCATGCTGAGGGCTCAGAGTGGTCCTATTGGGGGTTGCAACTTAGTGTGGGGGCTGCACATTCCTAGAGGGCCTTGAGCCCTCCCTACCATCCATGCATACTCACTGCCCTTTGCTCTTGCGTATGCACCAGCCAGGAGCAGCTACAGGATGCCTGAGGCAGCCACCCCTGTCCCCTGCCGGTGCCAAACACAGCCTGCACCCAGAGCCCAGCAGCCTCCACACAGGATTTGGAGCATTTTCCCACCTGTAAGGGCACTGAGGTGGGACCACCACTTCTGCCCACAGCTGTAGATTAGACAAGGCCTGTGGTTACCAGGAAAGGACAGTGCTGCCCAAGGTCGCACAGTGGCTGATCCAATGGCTGCCCAGACTTGGGTTGGGGGTGGGGAGGAGGGAGTTCTGGCAGGTCCCTGAGCCGGCCCCATCTGGGCCCTGGCAGGAGGTGAATAAAGGCAAGATCTTAACAAGGTCACACGGCTGGGACAGATTGAGGACATGGCACTGGGCCCAGGCAGCAAGGGACAATCCAAGAGGGCTCCAGGGAGAAGGCGAAGGTCCTGGAGCCCCACCTTGGCCTGAGCCCCTCAGCACTCCACACCCTTCCTCGATGGGCTCCTCACCAGCTTCAGCCTCAGCCTGACATTTCCCGTGACATTTGCTGCAAAGAAATAGAGTCATAAACCCAAAGGTTAAATTTGCACATTGCTTCACACTGCCAGAAGTGTGGCCCTTCCACCCACCAGGTATCATGTGTGCAGGGTATGTGTGGGATGGTTAGCCCATGCCTGCGGGTCCTTGCTGGGGGCCTGAAGGTCCCCCTTCCAGGCTCTCCAACGTACCAAAACCATAGATTTCCAACACTGGTTCCTGGGTGGACCAGGACCTAAAGTGTGTTGCATCATAATAACAGGGGGCTATCAGAGAGGCCCTGCCCATATTGCTTACAGACCCAAGGCCCCCAAACCCCCTGTCGTAAGAGCTCCATCAGCACCATTTAACCCAGCTTGTCCCAAATGTGACCAAAAAACTCTTGTTCAATCTACTACCACTCCATGGAGTTTCAGTCCCACGGAGCCCCTCTTTCTGGGGCTCCCTGTCTCACCATCAGTCCAGTTCCATGAGCCAGGGCCCAAACAGGGCTCAGCACCTGCCCACCTGAGCTAACCAGGGTCCCTGGTCTCTGCCAGAGCAACACCTCCCAACCTCCCCATGGCCTACAGCTTCGCCTTTTCACTTCACATCCTTGGTCTGGCTGCATTGTCCTGGGGTAGAGGTTGGGGGGCATGGCTGCAGGATGGTGCTGCCATTGCCCCATCCTCCATCAAGACCAGCAGGCAAGGTCTTGAGGTCCGAGTGGAGATAAGGCTGCCGGCACTGGGAGGGCCAGGGCAGAGGTTACATGAAGGAGTGGAAGAGCTGGGGGTGAGGGGAGGAGAACACCAACTGCGTAGCAATTCTCAGCCTTGATCCTGATCAGTGCCTGGAAGCAGACTGCAGTCACCGCCAGCAAGAAACTCCTCTCCAGGCCCCAGAGAGAAGAGACCCTCAGAACTCTACCATAAAAGATTGGGAGGGGTTGGGACCGGGCCCCACCTCTGAGTCACGGGTACCATGTAACCGTGCTCCCAGACCTGCTGGGCCTCTGCTGAGGACACAGAAGGCATGTGCTGAGCACATCCTGCTGTCCAGCCCCATAATCCAAGGGCCCTGTGAAAGATCGGGGGGCAGGTGTGGAAGGTAAATGATGGCACATTCTCCAAAAGGGGTTCTACGCACAAAATCATGCACAAGAATTGTTCCAGACAAAAGAAAGAAGAGTATCACAAAGCACCCTGTATGGTGGGACCTGCCCCATTCCAGTGACTGCAGGTGATGCTGTGGTACAGATGGTGTGCCTACCCTCTGGCCTACTTGCGTCTGTGGCCCCATGACTGCCTGTCCTCCAAAGCACCAAGTCCTATAAACCAAGGAAAGCAATGGCCACATCCTTTTATCTGCTTCGCTCAGAGAAGGGTCTGACAGGCTAGGGAGAAATGAATGAATGAATGAATGAATGAGTGAGTCAGTGCGTGAGCAAATGTGTCTGGACTGAGTTGCTGGGATCAGTCAGACCACAGGATGAAGGCCATACAGGTGCAGAGGCTGCATGTGTGGGTGGGGGTGGGTGCTGCTGCAAAACCACAAGGGCAGATGAGCAGCTGGCTGCTCTGGAGTCCCACCAGACCCTGGGTGGCCAGGGGCCCATGCAGCCCTGCCTGAGAGTCAGACATCAGGACCCACCAGGTTGGCAATAGGGCAGCACAAGAGCCAGGCACAGCCAAGAGCCAGGAACCCTCAGGAATCCCAAGGCAGGGCCAGCTTAGGAGTGGACAATAACTCACACTCATTCCCTGACACACTCGCTCATTTATTCATCATAGAACTCTTTCTTCATGCTCAGTTCATCTGACCCTTTCTCTTGGTGCACATACTGCGACACTGTGGAGACCTTTAGGCCTCTTACCCTGGGCAGCAAGAAAGGCAGCACTGGGGGTGGGTTCCCTCTGCTTCCACCAACTGGGACCCTCCCGGTGCTGTGGCAGCTGCTGAAAGGATCCACGAACAAAGCCATGAATTCAAGGCCAAGGCAAGGAGGGAGGGAGGGAGGCCAATGTCAGGGAGACACTGGGTGAGACAGGACAGGGAAGATCTTCTGGCCCAAGGCTGGGTTGAGACAATGTGGAGGAAGCTCTACATCACATTTCTGGCCTCTTAAAGTCTCTCACTAGCAAAGAACAATAGCAAACAATCCTCAGCACTGCAGCCTTCAGCCTCCCAGGACTTTGTCTCCCACTTTCCAGAGTCCCAGCCCAACATGTCTTCTGCAGACCCCCCAACAAGCCCTCTTGCTAGTTGAGACCCACTAGACCAGGTTCTCCTCCCTCAGCCCTCTCCCTACCTCCCTACCAGCATAGAAGAGGACCATCCTAACTGAAGGGCTCTTTGTACACTGAAAGTAAATCCTCACATGGGGAATCCGGGGCTCAGGTTTCTGCAGGCTCCTTGCTGGTGATGGGCAGAGCGGGATGCTCCCCAGTTTGGAAAACACAGTGGTGGCCACCTCCATACTCCCACAGTGCCTTTTCTCCCTCCTGGCCCATCTTGGTCTGTTCCACTCCAACTCCTCTGTGGCCTCCACAGGCCTTTATTTCTTTGTTTGCAGGGAGTAGGAGGAAGGGGTCTGGGTGCTAATGTAAAGGGTCTGAGAAGATTTCTCTGCAGTGGGAAATGCTGACGGGGAAGGGACATGGTATTTGGGAGTTTTGAAGGCAGAAACACTGGGCTCAGAATTCCATGGGCTTCGGCCCTGAAGTGCTCCCAACTATCCTTCAGGGTGGTCTGAAAACTGCCCCTTGTAGGCATGGAGTTGTGACTGTCCCTCCCAAGGTCACTCTGCTAGCGATAGATTGACCAAGACCTAGATCCAGGTCACTGTTCTCTGGCCATCCCACACCCAGAAGCCAGAGTCTGTGAATGGCCCTCTGCCAGGTAGAGTGGGGTGCTGAGCACCGCTGGCACAGCCTCTTGAATGGCAGCTCTCTTTATCCCGAATGGAATGGGAGGGCGGATGACACCTGCTTTACCGATGGAAAGACTGAGGTTTAAAACAGAATGCTCAGTCCCACTGTTCATCCTGTCAAGGGACCTACCTCTGGCCTGCCCTGTTTCACCCCTGAACACTATAGGGACACTTGTCTCCATAGGCACTGATGGTGGCAGGAGTTCAGGCAGTGTGGCCTGACTTCTTTGAGTTTCATTTTGGGGGTTTCCTCACCACAGGAAGAGTGGGTACCAACAGTCTTACCTCAGTACCCCACACAGTCCCTGAGGCAGGTGACATACCAAGGTACCCCTCCTCAAAGAAGAATGCCACCATGGAGAAGCTAAAATACCTGCAACCTGATCCTGAGGTCACTCTGGATCAGCCTTGTGGGGGGCACACTCTTGCCCTGGGTTGGGCCGAGCAGCAGCTGACAAGTATGCCATGAGGCTCACCTGTTTGTCACGGTATTGACCTTAAGGTTTAAAATGGGCCTTCCCTACCTGAGTGGGTTCCAGACCCCACTGGCCACTATTACACCAGCATAGGAGAGGCGAGGAGTGGCTCACACTCTGGCCTGGGGGCACTGAACTAAGCCCCCCCAAACACATTCCAAGGGCCTCTGCTAGATTCCTGCAGAACCTGGACACAGTCCCCCTGGGCACATAAGGGCTCCCATAGCCAGAAACAAAGAGACTCATGCAAATGTGCCCACAGGCACACAGGGACACGCAAAAAGAAGCAACGTGCACACACACGTGCACACACACACACAGAGGCTCCAGGGGATGTGAAGGGGAGACTCACAGGACACAGGGCAGGCAGATGGAGGTGGGGCCAGGCTCTTGGAGCAGGGTTTCTCACCCTTATATCTGTGAGCTCTGGCTGCCCAGAACCTCCCCCTCAACACATGTGCATGTAGGAGCAGGGAGTGATTTCCACTGAGGGGCCCCAACATGTGCCAGTGTGGAGACCACAGCAGGCATGCTATGTGCATGCATGTGACCGTGGGCGTACAGGCGGGGGCAAGGACACAGATGTGCACCCAAAGTGTGTGTGTGTGCACGTGCACACTAGGGCAGCCTGGTATGCAAGTGCACATGCAGTGTGCAGCCCTGTAGACACAGCCACGTGCAAGGAAACGTGTGTGCAGCCTGCGGCACGGTGGACATCAACAGGACAGCCTGGGTGGGCATCCGGGGAGAACCCTCCAGGCAGGGCATGCCCAAATTGCCCCTAGGAGTTCACCTCCCACCCCCAGTCTCAGGACCGCACACCAGCCCATGGGGGCTGCCAAGGAGGGAGTACTGTGAATCCCACCACCTCCCTCTGCCTCTCAGTTGAGCCCAGCAAGATGGGGGATGCTTGGATGCCTTCCCCCAAGTCCGCCTAAGGGAGGGGGAGCGCTGGGTCAGCCCCGCCCCCACACCCTCTACTGCCACTAACGTCCCCATTCATCCTGCAGCAGACTGACCTGAGTCGGAGAGACAAGGGTGGAGGTAGCCAGATACCCCCACCCTTGCCTTGTACCCACATTTCACAATGAAGCTGGGGCTCTCGGACGCTGGACCACACCCAACCGTCACGAAGCCCCTACCCTGACCAAGATCTCCAGACCCGGGTCGTCCGGCCCTGCCGCCCCCAGCCTCGCCGAAGCAGCCAACTTTCCCGCGAAGCCCCAACTTTTCCTCACGCCGCGGGCTCCGCCCTCCCGGGGCTGGAGCGCCCGCGGTCCCAGCTAGGCGCGGCACTGCGGGGGCCCTCGCGGCCGCCCCGTGACCCTTCGGCCCGCCCGGGCCCGGCCCTGCGGCTCTGCGTGCGGCCGGCCCCACCGACTCCCCCCGCCGGCCCGGCTCCGGCGCGGCGCGGCGCGGCACTAACCTCCGGAGAACGCCCTCTTCATCTTAGGGGTCGGGCGGGGCGCGTCGGAGACCGAAAGTCGCTTCGGGGCCGGCGCCCGTCTCCCGCGGCCGGGTCCGCATCCAGGCGCCCGGCTCGGGCCCGGCCCCGGCCCGGCCGTGGCACGAGGCTGGGCGCGCTCCTCTGCCCCGGGCCGGCTGGGCCGCGGGCGTGGAGGGCGGCGGCGCGGACTGGCCGGGAGCTTGCGGCGGGCCGGGAGCGGATGAATGTTTTATGGGATCATGTGGTTTGACGCGCGAGGCATCCGCCCGGTCCCCCCACTGGCCGGGGCGGGGCGGGGCGGGATCTGGCGGCGGGCGGGGCGCTCACCTGGCTCGGGCCGGGGCGGGGCGCGGGGAGTGCGGGGGGCCGCGGGGAGTGGGCGTTGCGGGGCTGGGGGCGCGCAGGCCGGGTCGCCGGCTGCGTTCCGCCCGCCGGGTGTATTGGCTCCGCGCGGCCCCAGACAAAGACGGTGAATTTCTGAAGAGGCGGCGGCCCCTGCAGGCAACGGCGAGGATGGCGGCCCGGCCCGGAGCGGGTTGGGGACGCCAGCCTGAGGGTGTGGCTGCCGGGGCTGAAGAGGGTGTGGCCGTTCCGGAGGCGGCCGGTCCCCGGAAAGAGAGAGGTGCTGAGGACCCGGGTTGGGGTGGTGTCTCCTCTGCCTGGCTCCCTCCCTTCCTAGCCATACTAAATCCTGAAACTATGCTGAAGCAAGATTGCTCCATTTTTCAGGCAGAAAACAGGGTCAGAACTCAAAAGAATTCCCAGCCTCCTCTCCACCCCTGTCTTTGTGGCATTTTGCTGTACCACCCAGAGAGGTGTTGCCCCTCCCCTTAGGTGCGCCCCCTGCCGTTCTCTCCTGTGGAGTGCAGGCTCCAAAATCAGATTCACTTTGAGCCCAGCAGCTTAGTAAGCCCATCCTTCACAAAGCCAGCCCAGACTTTATGGCCAGAGGACCCAATGACCAGACCCTCACAAGCACACCAGCCTATCTACCTCTCCTGCTGGAGGTGGGAGAGCTCATTGGTAAGATCCTGAGTGCACCTCAGAGTTGCCCTGTACATGAAGGAGCACCTGGAGCAAATCAGCTTACGAGGCCTCTAATCCCATCCTACAGGTAAAAGGACTGTGAATGGGGGGGGGCTAGCTGTTGGAGTCAGTTCCAATCTGCAGAACACTATGCCAGGACCAGACCGGTACCTCTCCCTGTGGCCAGCATGGCCCTCTGGCCTGTTGTGGAACCCACACTGCCCAGACCTCTGTGGCTACTGTACTGTGACCCTGACCACAAGTGTGCCTGCCACCCTTGTCCTAACCTTGGTTTTCCAAGTAACTGTGGACTGCATTCAATTCCAGACACAGAGGAGGTGAGGTGGAGCCTAGACACCTTTCCCCTACCTCCTCTGCACCTACTTCAGCCCCAGGTCCCACAGCCACCTCACCAGTGGATCTTCGTTGCTGAGTGCCACCAGGGAATCCTCCCCATAGCCAGGTAGGAGGTGTGTCCCCCATTGAACAGATGGGGAACCTGAGGGCAAACTCACAGAACCAGCAGGAGGCCTGTCCTCTATCCCAGGACCCTTCCTCCAGGGTCCCTGCACACTCCCAGACCAGGAAAAGTGCTCCGCATAGGCCCACCTTAGAGCAGATGACAAGTCACGTAGTACTGGCCAGGACTGATGTGGATCAGGATCCATGTTCCTTGTGGCTATAATGATCCAGAACACAGTGCTGGCCCAACACTGCTGAAAATTGTGATCTTACCTCCCCATTGATTCAAAGCCTTTTTGCCCCTCCTACAGCAGCTAGGGGTGGCAATTCTGGGGAATGTGTGTGTATGGGAGAGTATAGGGAACAAAGTTGCAATGTGGAGGTTTCTAGCATAAGACCTCTCCATCAGTCAAGCTCAGGTGTTCCTGGCTGTTCTGAGCTGCGGCCTGGGCTTCCCACCTGCTCATAGGTCTGTGTGAAGGGAGTGAGACCAAGGCCTGCAGGCCTGCTGATCTGGCCTGCAGGACAGGTTTCCCACACCCACCTACCAGCCCCTTGGCCAATGCCCTCCTTGTTGGAAGCCCAACCTTTTAGATGACTCCTGAGTGTTAGATGTGGGAATTGGCTGGGTGGGCTGGGGTGGGTAGTCCAGTCGATTGGGGTGATAGCTGTGGGTCAGCATTGAAGGGGCTCATGGAAGGCAGAGGGGAGCTGAGCAGAGCTGGATGCCAAGTCAGTCTGCCTTCAGTAGATACAGCTCACTCTCAGGCTGATGCAGAGGGTTTGGTAAGGCACATATTATGGTGCTATCATCACTGAGGGTCCAAAAGGAGAAGGAAGAGGATGCTGATGACAGCTGCTGAAGAGTCAATGGGGGCTGCAGCCTCTGGTCAAGGGGCCCAGCCAGCTCTAGGGGTCAATCCTTGTGGGAGGAACAAGAGACGCCATGGGACTGGCCAAGCAACTGCCTCTTTAAGGCTGTCTAAACAGATCGGAGACCTAGCAGGTTTGCGAAGATGACAGACCATGTGGGCCACACTGATCTGAGTCTCCGGGCTTCTTTCTTCAGTGGTCTTGGACCAGGAGTGGGCATGGGCTGGAGGATGCAGATAGGTCTGCTCTCAGGTTAAACAGACCTGTCACCTTGCCTGGACTGAATTGTCTCCTCAGATCCACCAACACAGGACATAGCCAGCTTGCCCACTGTCACCCTCCACTGAGGCCTGGTACAGCCTCATTCCCTGGTCTTGTGGACCAGCCTCCACAATCAGCCTACCAGGTATTCAGGGGCCCTTGGCTCAACTGCTTGGTCCCTCTGAACTCAGTGAAGCACATGGACACTGCTGACAGTAACGCCTCTTGGCCGGTGTTAGCTGGTCACCATCCTACCATCGCCTGCCTCTCTTGTCATCTGAGAGGACTGTGCAGGGCAAAATGAGGTTTTTACACTAACTTCCAGTTCTATTCATAGAATCTAGTTTGGATGAGGAGACCCTTCCCTTGGGCTGGTTCTGGGGCCAACAGGGACATGATTGGACCTCCTTAGAAAGTCCTCAGAAAGATGCTTTCACATCCCTCCATGCTGGAGAGATGATCTGTGGTGACATTTCTGGGGTACTCAGTCCCTTGATGAATGAGGGGTGGCAAAGTTAGGGACTTGTCTTTTCTGCACACATTTTGGGCCACCCCAGGGCAGAAAGGAAGCTCAAAGGTCACACAGCAAATCCACACTTGCTACCCAGATGCTCCCATGTGACCTTTCCTGGCATTCTGAGTTGGCATCCGGGAATGTGGTCCCAGTGCCAGGGGGCAGGGGACACTGTCCTGTCATCTGCTGTCACCATCGAGGTGACTGCCTGTATGAAACCTGAGAGGACTCTGTGCCAAGTCTGCTAAGTGCAATTTAGTGCCCCTACTACTTATTTTACAAACAAGAAAGTAGAAGTCAGAGAATTTAGGTAAACCCATGTCCTGCAGTCTCTTCCAGGACTACCTTTGCCCACAGCAAAAGCATCCTTCAGAAGCTCCACAATACCCCCGACCTTAAGGCTACAGAGGGTGTAGCCTGTGCTCCCCTCTGCCCAACTTTGGTGCATGTTAATTAATCTGCTCCCTCGTCTCTTATGTATCAAAGTCACACACAGGAACAACCAGAACCAGCACAGGGACCAATACAGGGAAAGGATTGACAACCTGACCCCTGGCAGTGTTCCTAAGCATCCCACTGGACCTCCCCATCTCCGAATGTGAGCAACCTCCACAAGGGGGGTCCTCCTCCCACAGGATGACTGGATCTGCCTTCTCTGGCTTCCAGAAGGAGAGAGGAGTCACCAGGGCTCCCTAGTGGTCCTCGGTGGGTAGACTTGGGTCCACCCTTGTGTGTGTAGCCATGTTGTTGGCCTCTGACTGGGTTGCCTTGGCTGGTGGGGTTGGGGATGAGTAGGGCATTTCTGGCCCATGAGAGCCGGAAGTCCAATTCACTGGGAGAGCTTTAGGAGGTGGGGTCCTGAGGCTGTGCGCAGATTATCAGTGCTTGATTCATGTTCCTCCCCCCAACCTGCCGGGAATGTGGATGCTTCTGGAGCCACCCACCCAGCAGTGACAGCTAAATTGGGAACTACTGTTTGTACCAGGAACTTTGAGGGCAGTCAAAACTGGGTTGGGGTGCACCTGGTGAGAGTCCAGTGGGATGGCGCAGGGAAGGCAGACCTAAATATGACTATGCTGCTAGCTGGAGTAAACAGGAGTGGAAGGCAGGGTCGGCATTGCAGACCCATCTTGGGGCCAAAGTGAGATTCCTGCTGAGCCAGCTGAGGATCATTGCCCAACCTTGCTCATCCCAGGGTTACTGGGAACTCGGAGTCCCCCCTCTGGGCTGCTGTGATGGACAGGGCATACAGACTTGCTCCATTTCACAGAAGGAGAGACTGAAGGCAAAAAAGGGCCAGCTCAACTCAGAGCTCAGTGCTCCTGCCCAAAGGGGAACTTGGAGGAGCTCCTCACCCTCCTCCTTGTGCTGCCTTCACCTGCTGTCTTGCTCAGTCATCTACTCATTCAGCAAACACTCGGGGAGACCAACTCCAGACCCACTCATACTTCTGTTGGACTCTCACTCTTATCACCCCTACAAAGTATAGTAAAGGAAACTGAGCCCAGGGGCCATAACCTTGCCCTTGATCCTCAGCTAATGAGTCCAAAAGCAAGTGTGTGGCTAT